TGACCCAGAAGGAGAAAAGATACTTCGGCATATACCTCTACTTAGTCCATTTACAGGGACACAAGCAATATTTGACCAAACATTGTATCTGTGAGTTCAAAAGTTCCAGGTGAGAGCACATCGGGTGTATGGGTGATGGTGCACAAATTTTGGGAGATTTGAATGTATGGATGGAATATTCATAGATGCGTCACAAGATGATTTTTTTGAAGGACTATGTGAATTGAAGGGACATTTTTTGTTAGCGCATTGTTTATGTATATTCAGTTTATATAGTATTATAAGTTTAATCATGATGTAAATTGTAACAAAACCGTACCCCGACTGCACTAGGGTATTTCCGTTAGACTCCCGCTTCCCTGTCCGAACACAGATCCACGGACACCACTCAAAGTAAAGCCAGGAAATAAGACTGCTTTATTTTAACACAGACACAAGATATATACATTCAAGGGAACAACCCACCTCCCTGCATAAGTACACAGGGTGGGGCAAACCAAGTCTAGCAACAAGAGATATCAGCAGACACCCCCCACCAAGCCAATACACAAACACATACATCCCATAATAGTTTGCTCCCAAGCAAGACACACAATAGAACAATGGGACAACCACATAGTATTAAACAATGAACAACCCCCACACCCCACCTATACATGTCTACACAATATCAGGACATTCCACCCTGTACCCCTAACAGGCACAGGGTGACTTACACATAAGAGGAATATGGGGAGCTGAGACAGGGGTCCCCCCACCTCTCCAAAGGGGGCTGTGTTCCATGGGCCCCCCACCCAAAGTCACTCCCGTCACATAAATGTAGATGGAAGAACGGCGTGGTGTTTCAAATTAGGATATCCTCTTCCCTTCTCTTTTCCTTTTTTTTCAGTATACACCTTTATTCACCTAAAAGGCAGGAAGGTATGGGCAGTTGTAAGTTTTTGGACGATGAGTGGAGATGTTGTTGTTTTCAGTGATGAGAATGGAGTTGGTGTTCCAGAAACACAGCTTGGCTCCTCCCAAGACTGGGCTGTTTGTATTCATGCTGATCCTCTTGTTTAGAGGGACAGGGGACATAGAAAAGATGGAGGGGGGTTTCTCTGTTAGATGTGATGTGAAAGTGAGGAAGAAAGATGATCTTGTGGTTGGAGGTGGTGATGGTGCGGTGGAGGAATTACGGGTGGAATGATAGATGGGTCTATGGACTGATGGACTTATCATTGGAGTATACTACAGACGTCCTGAGGTCTATGAGAAGGGGGAGAGTTGGCTGTTCCAACAAGGTGATGGTGCGGAGGAGGAATTACGGGTAGAATGATAGATGGGTCTATGGACTGATGGACTTATCGTTGGACTATACTAAAGACATCCTGAGGTCTTTTATGAAACTCTCAGGTATCTTCCCAAGTATAGAAGTTATACTAAACGGCTTGTAGTTACTTGGCAAAGAATTTGATCCCTTTTTAAATATAGGCACCACATTGGCCTTCTGTAGTGGCACTGAGCCAGTAGTTAGAGTCTCTAAAAAATTAGAAACAATGAGTTTGAAATAACAGAACTCAGCTCTTTAAGGACACATGGGTGCAACTCATATGTGAAGATACACACACAACGTCCGGTCAGACACACACCCACACTGTTAGGTCAGAGGCAAATCCTTAAAATCAGGACAGAGACACACAAAGTCAAGGCAGAGTCATCTAGGAACCGAGCGAGCAACTTGCCGAGCAGAATGGGAGATGTTGATGGTTTCAGTGATGAGAATGGAGTGGGTGTTCCAGAAACACGGCTTGGCTCCTCCCAAGACTGGGCTGTTTGTATTCATCCCGATCCTCTTGTTTAGAGGGACACGGGACATAGAAAAGATGGAGGGGGGTTTCTCTATATTAGATGTGATCGGAAAGTGAGGAAGAAAGAGGATCTTGTGGTTGGAGGTGGTGATGGTGCGGAGAAGGAATTACGGCTGGAATGATAGATGGGTCTATGGACTGATAGACTTATCATTGGAGTATACTACAGACATCCTGAGGTCTATGAGAAGGGGGAGAGTCGGCTGTTCCAACAAGGTGATGGTGCGGAGGAGGAACTACGGGAGGAATGATAGATGGCTCTATGGACTGATGGACTTATCTTTGGACTATACTACAGACATCCTGAGGTCTTTTATGAAACTCTCAGGTATCTTCCCAACTATAGAAATTATACTAACCGGTCTGTGGTTACTTGGCAAAGAATTTGATCCCTTTTTAAATATAGGCACCACATTGGCCTTGTGTAGTGGTACCGAGCCAGTGATTAGAGTCTCTAAAAAAACAATGAGTTTGAAATAACAAAAGTAAGCTCTTTGAGGACACATGGGTGCAACTCATATGTGAAGATACACACACGTCTGGTCAGACACACACCCACACTGCTAGGTCAGAGGCAAATCCTTAAAATCAGGACAGAGACACACAAAGTTGAGGCAGAGTCATCTACTAAACGAGCAAGCAACTTGCCGAGCAGAATGGGAGATGTTGATGGTTTCAGTGATGAGAATGGAGTTGGTGTTCCAGAAACACGGCTTGGCTCCTCCCAAGACTGGCTGTTTGTATTCATGCTCATCCTCTTGTTTAGAGGGACACGGGACAAAGAAAAGATGGAGGGGGGTTTCTCTATGTTAGATGTGATGTGAAAGTGAGGAAGAAAGACGATCTTGTGGTTGGAGGAGGTGATGGTGCGGAGGAGGAATTACGGGTGGAACGATAGATGGGTCTATGGACTGATGAAAAGTGACTAAATAAGAAAGGTAGTGCGTAGTATATCTTGTAACTCATTCACAAAAAAGTAACATAGTTAAAACATAAAGACACTGTGAAAAATTAATTTATTAACAACTAAACCTGTCAAACAACCACCCTCATTCTGGAACAAGTCTGTCAACTGGTATATAAGCTCTTGGCGGTGGAGTTGGGCTATCAACCCATAAGTCATCTACTATACATCAATAGGGTACCGTTGATCCAACACAAATCTTCTATTGCAGTTCACCTGTAAATGCAGCAGGAGCTTGCATCCTAACCCTGTGGAAGCAGTCCATTACCTCTCTGGTATCCTTGTAGCTGGCCAAGGTCAATAATATTGGATACATGGAGAGCCTCACAGCATTCCTATATCATATAGAATAGTTCAGTAATATTTGGTGCCCTACATAAAAATCACAGATCACTTGGCTTGTTCAGGGTAGTCTTGTGATCTTTGACGCAACGCATCGAGCGGAGCTGCTCACCTCTAATATTGCCCCATATTCCCCTAGAGGTCATACATGCTTTATGTAACTACCAAAATAGCAAGTGATGCACTTTCCCCTCCTGTTATAAATATCTTAATCAGGCTGTCCTCGATCAATATATGATACCCATGGTCTTTTTTTTTTCCTGCTCTTCTGAATTTCGGGAGTTGTTACATCCCCCTGACGTGGGGAAGACACTTAAGAGCTTCAAGCAACCCCATGGCTCCTTGAAAATGGCTCTCTTATGGTTGACTCTATGTAGTGGCTTCTTGGGGACTTCTGCTTCTCCTCCTAGCCTTCCAAACTTCACCAGAACAACCCATTTCTGCCGCACTCCCACCACAAATGACAGCTCCTTCACTGCCTGGTTGATGGCAACAAACCAAATGGCAATCCTTCTCGACATCAATGACCACAGGGTGACTTTCCCCTCCTGTAATAAATCTCTCTATCTGGTTGTCCTCGATCAATATAGGATACCCATGGTCTTTTTTTTCCCTGCTCCTCTGAATATCGGGAGTTGTTATATCCCCGACGTGGGGAAGACACTAAAGAGCTTCGAGCAACCCCATGGCTCCTTGAAAATGGCTCCCTTATGGTTGACTGTATGTAGTGGCTTCTTGGGGCCTTCTGCGTCTCTTCCTAGCCCTCAAAGTTTCACCACAACAACCCTCTAATGCCGCACTCCTACCACAAAAGACAGCTCCCTGACTGCTTGGCTGATGTCAACAAATCAACAAGAAATCTTTCTCGACATCAATGACCACAGGGTGACTTTCCCCTCCTGTTATAAATCCCTTAATCAGGTTGTCCTCAACTGATATATGACACCTATGGTCTTTTTTTATCCTGCTCCTCTGAATATCGGGCGTTTTTATGTCCCTCTGACATATGGAAAACACTCAAGAGCTTTGAGCAATCCCATGGCTCCTTGAAAATGGCTCGCTTATGGTTGACTCTTGACTCTATGTAGTGGCTTCTTGAGACCTTCTACTTCTCCTCCTAGCCTTCTGCTTCTCCTCCTAACCTGCTTCTCCGCCTAGCCTTCTGCTTCTCCTAGCCTTCCAAGCTTCACCACAACAACAACCTCTTCTGCCGAACTCCCACCACAAATGACAACTCCCTGACTGCCTGGCTGATGGCAACAAACCAACTGGATATCCTTCTCGACATCAATGACCACGTGACCATGATCATACGTGGCCAATGACCTGAATGGGGATCCCTTGGCTGCTTTGACTACAAACAGAAGCAGGCTGGGGAAGGATCTGTCAGTTAGGGGCACTAGTTTTATTTTTTTTTGGAAAGTCACCTTTGCTGGAGAACATTGAACAGGTTCACCACTTAACATGCAGGATCAAGGCATCGCCCAAGCATGTCATTGCATATTTTTACGCTTGCACGTTAAGCTGCATAAAAAGACCCACTTCTAATCTAATTTTTTTTTGTACTTGGTTTTTTGCCTTGGTGAACATCCCCCATGGCTCCATCTAGCCACCCATGCCTCGCCTATACCAAAAGCTTTCAAACTATCCTCGAAAAAGGCGAAAAACATACAAGATGTGGCTCCCATAGACTTCAATGGGCTCTGGGTTCGATGTTTGGTAGTTGCGGATTTCAGGCTGGGTTCTCAGGAACGGAACGCAAGTCAGTTTGCTCATCACTACTCCTGGGGGCGGGATCTATGATATCTTACACGGTTCGATTTTGGTGGATAATGTATTCCGCACTACGGCTTCTGCTGATTTCTGCAGAAAACAATTCCCGCACTCAGGGCAGCAAAGGAGATTTTTCCTGTGTGTGCCAGAACTGATGTTTTACTAAGATTGGACTTCTGCGAAAATGATTTCCCACATTCTGAACAGGTATACGGCCTCTCGCCCGTGTGCAATCGCTGATGTGTGTAAAGATGGGACTTCATTGAAAAACATTTCCCGCACTCAAGGCAGGAAAACGGCTTCTCACCCGTGTGGGATCTCTGATGGGCAATAAGGTCTGACTTACATGGAAAACATTTCCCGCACTCGGGGCAGGAGGACAACTTTTCTCCCGTGTGCAACCTCCGATGTCTGACCAGACAAGACTTCTGTAAAAAACATTTCCCGCACTCAGGGCAGGTATATGGTTTTCTTTTCTCCTCTGCGTGAGATTTCTGATGTAGAACAACATCTGATTTATGTTTATAAGATGTCTCGCACTCTGAGCAGGAATATAGCTTTTCCCCTGTGTGAGATTTCTGATGTATACCAAGGTCTGATTTTTGTGTAAAACATTTCCCGCACTCTGGGCAGGTATATGGTTTTCTTTTCTCCTCTTCATGAGATTTTTGATGTACACCAAGGTCTGATTTCTGTGTAAAAAATTTCCCGCACTCTGGGCAGGAATATGTCTTTTCCTCTGTGTGAGATCTTTGATGTACACCAAGGTCTGATTTCTGTGTAAAACATTTCCCGCACTCTGGGCAGGAATATGTCTTTTCCTCTGTGTGAGATCTTTGATGTACACCAAGTTCTGATTTCTGTGTAAACCATTTCCCGCACTCTGGGCAGGAATACGGCCTCTCACCCCTGTGCAATCGTTGATGTTTTAAAAGGTAGGATTTGCGTGAGAAACCTTTCCCGCACTCAGGACAGGAAAACGGCTTCTCCACGTGTTCGGACGTGTAATGTTTGTCCAGTTCTGACTGATAAGGAAAACGTTTCCCACACTCAGAACAAGAGAGAAACTTCTCGCCCTTGTGGGATTTCTGATGTAAATAAAGCCTTAACTTAGAGCTAAAACTTTCCGCACATTCAGGACAGGGAAACGTCTCCTTCTCTCCTGAATCCCGGCCCCATCCCCCGCAGTACGAGGTTGCTTAGAGTCAGAGGGAGTCCATGGTCTCTCCACATAGGGAAGTCCACCATCCATAGTGGACCTCATTGTCTTTTCTCCGGCACATGGAACCCCGGCCCCATCTCCCAGAGTACAAGGGTGCTCAGAGTCAGAGGAATTCCATGGTCTCTCCCCACTGGGAAGTCCACCATCTATAGTGGAGCTCATTGTCTTTTCTCCGGCACAATCTCCTGTGATGTCCTCATCAGCCATTTTACAAACTATAAATATAGTGAGACGATCCTTTGAGGGTTTCTCCATGGCGGGTTCTGGAAACAAAAGACAAGACAGGGTTAGTCAGTCAAATAGCCTTTGGTCCTCCTCCCAGACCACATCTAGGAACCAATGGGGGCTGGGAGGGGCATGCTCTTTACACAACCACATGCCTAGGCACTGGGCCAGGTGCTCTTCTTCAGGGAAGTCACATGATCTGTGACACAACGCATTGACGGAGCCAGGGTGATGTCACTTATATGAAAATACAAAAATGGGTGTAGTGCAAAGCTATAGATGAATACAAATATTTAAATGAACCCTCACTTGTGATACCGCCTCAATAACAAGTCTAAATATGTGATGTGTAAAACTTAAATTCGCCGTACCAATGCTGCAATACAAACATCCCAAATACATAAAAGTCACAGATCACTTGGTTTGTTCAGGGTAGTCTTGTGATCTTTGATGCAACGCATCGGGCGGAGCTGCTCACCTCTAGAATTGCCCCATATTTCCATAGAGGTCATACACGCTTTGTGTAACTCCCAAAATAGCATGTTCTGCACTTTCCTCTCCTGTTATAAATCCCTTCATCAGGTTGTCCTCGATCGATATATGATACCCATGGTCATTTTGTTTCTTTTCCTCTGAATATTGGGAGTTGTTACGTCCCCCTGACATGGGTAAGACACTCAAAAGCTTCGGGCAACCCCATGGCTCCTTGAAAATTGCTTCCTTATGGTTGACTCTTGACTCTATGCATTGCCTTCTTGGGGCCTTCTGCTTGTCCTCCTAGCCCTTCCAAGCTTCACCACAACAACCCTCTTCTGCTGCACTCCCACCACAAATGACAGCTCCCTGACTGATGGCAACAAACAAACTGGGAATCCTTCTCAACATCAATGGCCACAGGGTGACTTTCCCCTCCTGTTATAAATCTCTTAATCAGGTTGTCCTCGATCGATATATGATAACCATGTTTTTTTTTTTTCCTGCTCCTCTGAATATCAGTTGTTACATCCCCCTGATGTGGGGAAGACACTCAAGAGCTTCGAGCAACCCCATGACTCCTTGAAAATGGCTTCCTTATGGTTGACTCTATGCATCGGCTTCTTAGGGCCTTCTGCTTGCCCTCCTAGCCTTCCAAGCTTCACCACAACAAACCTTTAATACCGCACTCCCACCACAAATGACAGCTCCCTGACTACCTGGCTGATGTCAACAAACCAACTGGAAATCCTTCTCGACATCCATGGCCACAGGGTGACTTTTCCCTCCTGTTATAAATCCCCTAATCAGGTTGTGCTCGATCGATATATGATACCCATGGTCTTTTTTTTTCTGCTGCTCTGAATATCGGGAGTTGTTACATCCCCCTGATGTGGGGAAGACACTCCAGAGCTTCGAGCAACCCCACGGCTCCTTGAAAACGGCTCTCTTATCGTTGACTCTATGTAGTGGCTTCTTGGCGCCTTATGCTTCTCTTCCTAGCCTTTCAAGCTTCACCACAACAACCCTCTAATGCTGCACTCCCACCACAAAGGACAGCTCCCTGACTGCCTGGCTGATGGCAACAAACCAACTGGAAATCCTTCTCAACATCAATGACCACGTGACCATGATCATATGCGGCCAATGACATCAAAGGAGATCCCTTGGCTGCTTTGATTACAAAGAGAAGCAGGCTGGGGAAGGATCTGTCATTTGGCGGCACTAGTGTTTTGTTTTTTAAAGTCACCTTTGCTGGAGAACATCCAACATCCTGTTATAAGTCCCTTAATCAGGTTGTGCTCGATCGATATATGATACCCATGGTCTTTTTTTTTCCTGCTCCTCTGAATATCGGGAGTTGTTACATCCCCCTGACGTGGGGAAGACACTCCAGAGCTTCGAGCAACCCCATGGCTCCCTTACGGTTGACTCTATGTAGTGGCTTTTTGGGGCCTTCTGCTTCTCCTAGCCTTCCAAGCTTCACCACAACAAACCTCTAATACCGCATTCCCACCACAAATGACAGATCCCTGGCTGATGTCAACAAACCAACTGGAAATGCTTCTCGACATCAATGAACACAGGGTGACTTTTCCCTCCTGTTATAAATCCCTTAATCAAGTTGTTCTCGATCGATATATGACATCCATGGTCTTTTTTTTCTTCTGTTCCTCTGAAGATCAGGAGTTATGTCCCCCTGATGTGGGGAAGACAGTCAAGAGCTTCGAGCAACCCCATGGCTCCCTTGAAAATGGCTTCCTTATGGTTGACTCTTGACTCTATGGAGTGACTTCTTAGGTCCTTCTGTTTCTCCTCCTAACCTTCTGCTTCTCCTCCTAGCCGTCTGCTTCTCCTCCTAACCTTCTGCTTCTCCTCCTAGCCTTCTGCTTCTCCTCCTAGCCTTCCAAGCTTCACCACAACAACCCTCTAATACCGCACTCCCACCACAAATGACAGTTCCCTGCCTGGCTGATGTCAACAAACCAACTGGAAATCCTTCTCGACATCAGTGACCACAGGGTGACTTTCCCCTCCTGTTATAAATCCCTTAATCAGGTTTTCCTTGATCGTCAGTAGTAGTCAACCATGCTCGAAAAGGGCTGCCCAGAGTGTAGTACGCAAAACTTCTATTTATAAAATAAGGAGTACCGCTCACATAAAAACAGCTTATTAGAAGACATACAAATGCGTTCCAGCAGGGAGCCCACCAAACACTTCTGGTCTCGGCCTGACCGGAAGTGTTGTCACCACTCTCCACCCAACGCGTTGCGTCAAAGATCAAGCCAAGTGATCAGTGATGCAACTCAGTGACGTTTATGTACTTTGGATATTTATATTGCAGCACCGGTACAGCGGATTTACGTTTCACACATAACATATTTAGACTTGTTATTGAGGAGGTATCACAAGTGAGGGTTCATTTAAATATTTGTATTCATCTATAGCTTTGTGCTACACCATTTTTGTATTTTAATATAAGTGACGTCACCCTGCCTCCCTCCAATGCGTTGCATCACAGATCATGTGACTTCCGTGAAGAAGACCACCTACACCATGTTTGTATTTTAATATATTTTTTTTCTGCAGTGAGGAACTCCGATAGCTGTCAGCAGCAGCTTACGTAGTAATTCCTGTAGGAAAGGTGGCAGCACATAAGTCATTTACAACTTACCTGCACAACCTAATACTATCACCTGAACCCCAGGAAGGGTATCAGTACAGGGAGGGGACCATAACCAACCTATTATTGGCTGACATCACTCAGCTCCCGCCCTACTCTGGACCAATCAGTGTGCAGTAACAGCAGAGATAAGAGAAGAATATATTCTGGTCACCTGTGCTGATCTCTGTAGGAGTGTCCTCCTCTATGAATGTCCTCCTCATTCCAGCCTCCTCCGTATATTGCTGATCATCCCTCACATACGTCTCTTCTACTTCACCCTCAACTTTCATGTTCATCAGATCTTCACCCTAAACCAACAGAATGGCAGAAAATAACATCTGTAACATAGAAGGATTTATGATGTGAGATCACATAGAACATCTCATCTTGTAGAGTCCACACATCGTCTCCACAAGTCAGAGGGTTCCATCACTTTATGTTCCCGACCCTCAACTCCACCGACCTGATGATGGTGAGGGATGGTATGACCTTCCTGTATGGAATCCTGGGAATACAGAGGATGGGGACATCTCTCTGATGGGTTCCCATGACTGGATCCACCTACCTGATGATGGTGATGGTGTGACCTTCCTGTGTGGAATCCCCGGAATCCAGAGGATGGGGACATCTTTCTGGTGGGTTCCTGGTATTAGGTGGCTCCATCATATCCTTGTGTCCTTCTGAAAACTCCTCCATCACTCCATACTCCTCATCCTCCTCTTTATACTCTTCTTTAACATCAATATTATCATCCCCGAGGATTCCACTCTGAATAGAAAA